CCGCTTTGTCTCTTTGGACTGGAACACAGGAGCTGGCAAGCTGCTCTGTGCTGGAATGAGTGGTGCGCTGCTGGCTCTGTGACCCTGTGGCCCCACTGGTGCTGCTGGTGGCCCTGTTTCATTTAGGTTCTCACCTTGCAATAGTAGTTATAGAGTAATTGTTTGGTCTCAGCTGCAAAAACATGTTCCTTCAGGGTTTGTGTCTAGCAAAAGAGAGCCATACTGGAGGCAGACCAAAGGCATGTCTAGCCTGTTCTTACACTTCGCACAAACTTTACATTTCTCTTACATGGAGCAAAACCTCCCATAATTACTTGACAGTTCTGAAATGTGGACTTCTTAAAGAATTGGAACTGGACTTCATTTTTCTCAATATAGCAGCTAGGGGTACGTGCATGTGTGTATATACACACACATCAAAATATAGCTGTATTGTACTCAAATATGTATACATACCTGTGTGTATCTTTGTCTTAAAGATATGGACGTTGGTAGTTGGTTACCTGCTGATGGTTTCATTCAAGTGGAATATAAGCACTGAACGTTACTTAAAAGCAATCTCTGTCCCTGTCTGGATTATGCTGCTCTTTCACTTAGGTGAGTAACAAGAATTTATTATTCTAATGCATCTGCTGGGATTCTGTTATCTTCCAAAGCTACTCACTTGTTCTTCCGCTAAATCCATATAATGGATGTTTAGCTAGGATGCAGGCTGTTTTCTCTGCTCAGTAACTCTGGCTGCATGTGGCCAGCAGGGTGCATGGAATGGGAAGGCAACGAGATGCTGAGCAACATGTGTCTTCCACTCCTCCTGCCCAGTTTGTACTTTCCATGGTTTTCCCTTATTTGGCTCTTGCAGTCACAGACCTGGTGCTGACTGCCTGACAGTGGGGAAGGGCTGGGGTCACGTGGGTGGATTTAGACTTTCACTCGTGATGATTTTTAATACTATTATTTTCTTGAGAGCCTGCAATTGGCCAAGGCTGAAGCTGTAAAATGCATTTAATAGTAGTAATAGAAGCAAGAAAAACCACAGACTCTTATCAGGTAGTCAACAAGCATGTCAGTATGATATCAACAATATCAAATAAATTTTCCAGTAATCTATATGATGTTAATACAAATATAAGATTATAGTGATCTATTAGTATTAGATTTATTCTACATATTTCATATAACAGATTATCTGAATATATTATGAGAGTTTATGGTGAAAGTATCATGCAGATAATAGATGACTGTCATGATGGAAGTTTCACAGTGTATTTCATGATTTACTTTGCTTTAGCAGCGGTTTTCAAGGGTTGTTCTGACCATGTGGGGACACTGTCCTGAGGTTTTAAGCTACACAGAATGGCTTTGCGTTTGCTTACTTTTTGACAGTCTTGTATTTGCTGGAAGTACTAGCTGAAAAGCCAAAACCCAAGAAGGCACTGCTTGGTGCCACTCTGTGGAGATTGAACATAAATACAGAGTTTATTTTTTTGAGAGGGAACTTGAATTGCCTCTGATATCTAAAATGTTTTTATTGTGTGTGTATTTTCATGTAATTTTGCATGTTGTTTTTAAAATTGTTCTCTAAAGTATATCAGCATAAAGTCACTGAAGTTAGGAATGGTAACAACTTGGTTTATTCATTGAGAAACTTGTTCACCTGTTTTTTTTCTATTCTTGCTTTCTGTGAACGTAGAAAACTTCTTAGTTTCTGCCCAGATTGTTCTTGGTTGATGTGGTGCCTTCCTTGGTTTTGCTAAATGTAGGGTATATTAGTGGCATAATTTTTCTTATAAAAAACCCCTTGTATCTTTCAGCTTCTGTGGCAGGTTCCTGGAGAATTCCTGTGTTTCTGGTTATAGTCGTTCTGATGACTGTAGGCATGTTGCATGAACAGCATAATGGAAAGGAGTCTTCTGGTAAGAAAGGAGTCACTATTTCTTTTGGAAGGCCAAAAAGCAAACATCAGGTGTTAATTTCTAGTACTAGCTGTGTGATTATTTTGGGAAACTTTTTTCCTGTCTTGCTGTTTTAGTTTTCTTTAAAGTCATCATAAACTTTGTTAAGTAAAATAGATTATCTTTTATAGAGATTTTTAGATTAATCAGACTGCCGACAACTGCAAATGAGTTGGTCAGTAGTAGTACAATAGCAAGGAAAATGCTAAGCAAATAACTGTTTTTGTGGGTTTGGTTCCAGGTGTATTGTAATACTAAAATTAATAGCACTCATTCCTTTTGGATTGTATTGATTACATACAATACATATTAAAAACCAACAGTGTCTATCCATATAATTTCTGTTGCTTGTCAGCTTCAGTGGATATCAAGCAACAAATAAAACATTTTAAGACTTAAGCTTTTCTTTATTTACGTACACATATCTATTTCACAGGGGCAGAGCTTCCTGGTCAGATGATTTCCATTGCTGCTTCAACAATTGCCATGGCAATTTCAATGACAGAGGATGACTCCAGTAGTGAACATTCCTCACAACCCTCAGGTGACTGAATACTCTGTAAGAAAACATTTGAATTTGCTCTAAAGGCATGAAATTGGAGGGAGCTAAGAACAAATTTCAAAATAGTCCCTATCCTGTTCATCCTGACCAAAATTGCACATTTATACTTACCTTGTGAAACAAGTTTATCTGTTTTTAAAAATGTTATGAAGATGGTAATATAAAAGCTATCTTTCAAATGATAGTTTACATTACTGTCTGTACATTTAGAAAGCCTGACTAGAAGAATTTATTATTTTATTATTATTTTAAAGTGCGGGCGTGGTTTTTCCCTATTCTTTATTATTCTAATTTTTTAATTTTCCCTAGCCTTCTTTTGGTTTGTTGGCAGTTCCGAGATATATGTACTGGATTTCTGGACCAGGTACAGACAGACTGGAATAATTTTTGTGTACGTCACAGTGACAAAAACCCACTTTGCTCTGTTTAACTATGGTATGCTCAAAGTCTTTCCTGCAGTGAGTTTACTTGGCATTGTAGCTTGACTCACAGTACTTTCACTTGCAATAACACAACTAGAAATCTGTAAGAAATGGCTTGAAAGAGTTGCAAAGAAGGTGCTTAGATGTCCATCTCTGCTTTTGAACCTTACCGTCATTTTTCTGGTTAGGCCTTTGATGGAATGCAATACTAGAAAAATAAGCTATTACGGAGATCTCTGGAAATTGAAAGGTTTCATCCATTTCCTGGAAGTAGACAAAACAGGTTGTTCAACTTGACAGAATGTGAACTTCCAAAATTTCAGTTTGAAATTGGCTGTATGTAAGAGTTGTCTACTTCAAGACAGTATGTTCTTAATATTTTTTGTAATGTGTAAATGTGCTCCAGAGGAGGAAACATGGTGATTGTGTAGGAAAGAATGCTTTGAGCAGCTTCTGGCTAAAGGCCAGTTCATGAAACTAAAAAGTTCATGAAACTAAAAAGCTTACTTCAGCCACCATGTGAAATGGTGTAGAACAAGCTCATCAGAAATCTTTTGATGAAATGTAGGCACACTTCCTAATTTTAAATATGTCAATGTAAGCTGTTGAAAACATATTTCATTTTTAAATATAAAAAGGGCAGCTTTCGACAGCTTATTATTTTCTTATCTTTGTTTCTACATTTTACGTGACTATCATAAAAATAAATATAAAGCCCTATGGATGTCCTGAAACTTAAGAACAGCATCAAGGTGACAGTTTTCCTATATTGCTGTCTCTAATCTTTAATTTTGGAAATGAGATTATTTTTTTTAGCTGGATTTTGAATATCTGGCCAAGCAACAGTCTCCCACAAATGTGTTATGTAAGTGGTTGTGTTCTTGTTTGTGGCTTGTGTGGTGGTTTGTTTGGTTTTTTTTTCAAATTTACATACCAGTTTTAATTTTTTTCTCTTCTTTAAGACTTTTTTTTTTCCTCCTTTCAAGTTGTAACTTCTCTTGGCCAAAAGAAAACTACAGCGGTTTTACAAGGATGTCTCTTATAGTGAATATTTTTTTGACGACCTTTCTTGAGACAGTTAACCCGATTTTTATTTTTTTTTTTTCTTTTTCTTTTTGTCTTGCAAATTCTGTTGTTGTTTTCCTTCACAGCAGGAAAAGAACAAATACGGAGTTTCCTGCTTACTCCTGTCCTGTCCCACTTGGTGGGTGAGAGTGAGGTTAATTTTTTAATTCTCTGCACGGTAGTCGGGAGTAATGACAATTAGTTGAGAGATTCAAATAAATTACAGATTTACTTAAACTCAGCGGAACTATGAAAGATAATGGCTTAGCAAAACTTGTAACGATATTACCCTAATGTGCCGAAAATGAAGTTACACACAAAGAGAGTGGTGGAGAGGAAAAGAAAGAGAGAAAGAAAGAGAAGATATCACCACCCTTGGATCCAGCGATGTTTTCTGCTCATAGTGGTAGTCCTCAGGTGGCAGGTGCGCACCAAAGACTTAGATTTCCCCTTTTTGTAATCCAATGTGCCCGCCCTGTAGGTGAGGGTCTGTCATCACTGAGCAGGCACAATATGTACTCAGGAATATTCAGAAATGTTCTAGAAATGAATCAGTAGGTTGTGAGAGTCTTGGGGGTCTCACTGTCTCCCGGATTCGGGGCTGACCAAGTGATAATCTTTAACAGGCACACGCACAGAAGACAGATGCTCTTTGCATGTTTCAGGAATAGGGCAGTTGGCTCACGAGGCGGTATCCTGCCTTCATGGGTTCTGTTCTTGGTCAACACTCCCTCATCATCAGCCCATCCCCACCCATGTCAAGACGGTTATTTGCGACATTCACTTGTTATCAGAGCCTTACCACTCCTAACAATAGTTTATATAATTTTCCAACAGTCTGTTGGGAATTAGCATTCTGTTCCGTGATGTGTAATAAGTGTCCTTTTGGTCATCTCTGGTTTGGATCTTCTGTGCTAATGGTGATGAAACTTTATTCTTATACAGCAAAAGGTTTTACCTGCAGGGTTAAACTGCAACTCCTTTGGTTTTCCTCTGCGGTGATTTTTGGATGTTTTGTTATCTTGCTTTGGAACTTGTAATGTAACACGCATCTATTTTATGAGAAGTTTAAGATTTTGAAAGTTTTTGTATCTTCAGCCAGGTGGATAGCAGACTTCAGGAAGAGATTTTTCCTTCTATGTATTGTAAATATGTCAGTGGTTGTGATGATTGATTGATTGTCAGTAGCAATAACAATGCTTATACTGTATTAAAGCATTTATAGGACAGTCAGTGCTACATGTTTTTACTGATCTCCTTATGCTTAAATTTGTTCATGAAAAAACCAGGAGAGAAAATAAGCTGTATTGATTTCACAGGTTTTTCTGAACACTCATATTTTTCCTTATTTTGTTGTTGAATACTGGTATTTAGTGTTGAGGGTGAGGAGTTTAATTATACCAGTGAAGGTGGTCTAACTTGTCCTTCCTGGTGTCCCAAGAATTTCCAGTGTATACAGCAAATAAGGAGTCCACAACTTAAGAAGCAGATACCACTGCAGTATTTTTTTATCTGCCCTGTAGGCAAGATTCTGTTGTCTTGTTAGTTTTGAATATGATAGATACTGAAATCCTTAAATGTAGTCATGTCTCTTACCCTTCTTCTCCCCCTTCTTTGTTTTCTTAAAAAAAAATAAAAATCTTTTTCTCTTGAAATTACAGAAAGATGTGATTATTCATGAAGGGGTACCTTAGTCCTGGTGTTCTGAAAGACTTTTTCATTAGTAATAATAAAATCACTGTTTCATCTTAACTCTGAAGATTTTGTTCTGATACTCAGCTCCATAGAGATACGGACACTCGCCTTCCTGTTTATGCTGCTTTTCCTTTTATTTAAGGAAGGGGAAGGAGAATAATTCAAAATGCTGTGGCCAGCAAGAAGTTGACTTGACAGAGAACATATTCTGTAAAGAAGAGAACAGCCTGGAAAACTGACTTTTTTTTGGTTGTTTTTATTATATTCAAATAAGTACCATACATTCTGATGTATGACATCCTGATGAGACGTTGTGGCAGCCCCATCCCTGGAAATGTTCAAGGCCAGGTTGGATGAGGTCTAGAACCAGGTCTAGTGGAAAGTGTCCCTGCCCATGGCGGGGGTTTGGAACTAGATGATCTTTGAAGTCCCTTCCAACCCAAACCATTCTATGATTCTGTATGATTCTATGATTTTGCTAGAATTCTTTATTGAATATTATGCTAGCCATTTGGGAAAGGCTGTCATACGTTGATTAGTTGAAGATAGAAAGGTGTTTTTCAGGTTTCATCTCTAAAAATATCATCAAGCACACTAACTGGGGTTTTACAGAACCTGAAGTTACTCTAAATCAATATTCTGATAGACCTTTCTTCCCTGTTTGTGTTGACAAGGCACTCATGCCTTGGTTTGCAGAGCATATCTTACTAACTGTCGTGGTTTTACCCCAGCCGGCAGCTGAGCACCATGCAGCCACTCGCTCGCTCCCCCCCAGCAGGATGGGGGGAGAGAATTGGAAGAAAAAACAGTGAGAAAACTCGTGGGTTGAGATAAAGACAGTTTAATAGATAAAGCAAAAAGCCGTGCGCACAAGCAAAGCAAAGGAATTCATTCACCACTTCCCATGGGCAGGCAGGTGTTCAGCCATCTCAAGGACAGCAGGGCTCCATCATGCGTGACAGTTACTTGGGAAGACAAATGCCATCACTCCGAACGCCGCCACGCCCTGTCCTTCCTCTTCCCCAAGCCCCTTATAAAGTGAGCATGATGCCATATGGTATGGAATATTCCTTTGGTCAGTTAGGGTCAGCCATCCTGTCTGTGTCCCCTCCCAACTTATTGTGCAGCCCCAGCCATCGTGCTGGTGGGGTGGTGCAAGAAGCAGAAAAAGCCTTGGCTCTGTGTCTGCTCAACAACAACAAAAATGTGTCCATATAACAAAAACATCTCTATATTATCAACACTGGTTCCAGCACAAATCTAAAACATAGCTCCATACTAGCTAGTATGAAGAAAATTAACTCTCTCTCAGTTGAAACCAGGACACTAACAAAATGTGACTTTTTTTCATTTGCAAAGTTTGGTGGGTTTTTTGGATGGGTCAACTTTGTGAACTGACTTACGATACAGAACTGAATGGCAGTTCCGATGCTAAGGAGTCTGGCATGGAGAGAATACTGGCTCATTGGCAGTGCCAATTTAGTTTGGCATAAAGGGCTGCAGAACTGCATTCTGAAAAAGCTTTCTTAGAATCATAGAATGGTTAGGGTTGGAAGGGACCTCAAAGATCATCTAGTTCCAGCCCCCCTGCTGCGGGCAGGGACACCCTCCACTAGACCACGTTGCCCAAAGCCCCATCCAACCTGGCCTTGAACACTTCCAGGGATGGGGCAGCCACAACCTCTCTGGGAAACCTGTTCCAGTGCCTCACCGCCCTCACAGGAAAGAATTTCCTCCTACAATCTAATCTAAATCTACGCTTCTTCAGCTTGAACCCATTACCCCGTGTCCTGTCACTACACTCCCTGATAAACAGTCCCCCTCCAGCTTTCCTGTAGGCCCCTTCAGGTACTGGAAGGCCGCAATTAGATCTCCCTGGAGCTGCCTTTTCTCCAGGCTGAACAATCCCAACTCTCTCAGCCTGTCCTCACAGGAGAGGTG